CCACCACCACCACCACCACCGACAGTTTGACCACCGTTTCCGATTATGTCCACCGTGTGCTCCACAGCAAGGTAGAGCAGGAACGCTGACTTGCACATGAATTAGTTTATAGTGAATATAGACTTGCGCAGCATCTACCGCACTCTCGCCTCCTTCCCAACTGGGTGCATAGTCAAGACATAGTCAAGAAGACTAGAGGCGCGGGAGGGAGCAGGTGGATGATCCGGTCGAGTCCTTGGTGCTCCGCCCCGAACTCCCTGGCAAACACAACAGGTAACCGGAATTTTAACCAAAAACAAAGGGGGCTGACGCGAGCGAAGTCGCACCTAGGTAAACTATCACACCTGGTTCGGATCCCAGAGAATGGGAGTGCCATAAAGGCCACACTAAGAAGGAAGCATTGCAGCCTGACTCTTAGATCACTAGTCGGCCGCTCCACACAAACATACAACACTGTGCCAACTGCGAGGCCCAGGTTACCCCGTCGGTTGGCAACATTCCAAGCCTTGACTTCTTGTGCACCGTGACAGTTTCAAGTACGTCAGATTGTCTATAGTGAGGAAAATGCACTGGCTCATCGACCTCACTCTCCTTTTCCATTCCCGGGCCCCTGGTTAATGTCCATGCCGGTCAGTACACAGGTGTGAGGAATGGAGGCGGTGGCTGCCATACCTACTTAACTTGTCTGCGCGCACCACATGCACGACCTGGTTCCCCAAACGTAAGCACCAGGACTTCGTCCAACGGGGGTTGGGCGGCTTATATCTCACATGCTTGTGAGTGCCATAGGCCACACTAGGAAGGATTCGCTTTAGCCTGGCTCTCAGCTCATTAGTCCGTCACTCCAAGCAGGCATACACACACAACTGGGCAGACTGTGTGGACTGAGTTGGGCGTCAATCGGCAGCCTTCCAAGCCACGGTGCCTGACGCACCGCGATAGTCTCAGACTCGAATCACACATGCAGCAGAGGAGCCGCATGGAGATGGAGCCTAGAGGCACACATCACACTTGCGTGGGAGGTGGGCGTTCGTCATGAAAATGAAGAGCGAAGGTGCGAGGACACAGACCTGCCTCACTCCGTTGGTCACTGCGAATGCCTCTGCGACAGTTCCACTGTCCGTGACTCGCGCCGTCATGCCATCGTGGGGCTGACGCATCACCCGAATGAATCTTTCGGAACCGCCGAATTTCTGCATGATTTTCCACAGTACTTCATGATTAACCGTGTCGAAGGCCTTCGTCAGGTCCACAAATGCAGAGTAGAGGTGGATCCGCATCTCCTGACACTTTTTCTGCAGCTGGCGGGGGGCGAAGATCATATCAGTGGCCCCACGATGACTACGAAAGCCGCACTGGCTTTCCCGCAGGAGACCCCGTCATAGATGGCTGTTCAGACGGTTGAGAAGAATGCGAGCGACGATCTTCCCGGCGATGTTCAGCGGGGAGATGCCTCTGTGGTTGTCGCGGAGCTGACGATTATCTTTCAGCTTGTAGAGGAGGACGATTGTGGCGTCCTGGAAGTTCTGGGGGACTTCTCCTTGACGCCACATTTCTCTGTAGAGCGACATCATATGATCCATGTGTTGAAGGCTAACGCGCTTGTAGATCTCAACAGGGATCGCATCTAATCCGGTCGTTTTACCGCTGGAGTGCTGCTGCATGGCGCTGCTGGCTTCGTGGAGAGAGGGCCAGAGGTCGAAGTCGGCGTTGCTCTCCGCTAGAGGCAGACGGGCGATGGCGGCGTCAGAGATGGTGGAGAGACGGTTGAGGACGCCTCTGATGTGCTCGGCCCATCGTTGTAGGATTTGTGTCTTTTCAGTGAGTAGGGTTGTTCCATCGGCGTTGGGAGAAGGAGCGACGCTGTGGTACCGTAGACAGCACTGATCGAAGTGAAGAAGTTCTTACATCCGCTGCGGTCCGCATATCCCTGAATCTTCGCGGCCTTGCGAGCCATCCACGCCTTCTGCATCTCCCGCAGCCGCTATTGCAAAGGCGGCGATTACGTTAGAAGGCTGCTTTGTTGTTTCCGGTAAGGCGATTGACGAAGGATTTGTGCAGGCGGTTCTTCTCGGCGAGTAGATTGCTGCTGGTGGCGTCGTTGTCATCGAACCAGCCCTGGTGTTTGCGACGTGCGCGACCGAGGACAACCAGGGCGGTTGACTGGACCGCGTTCCGCAGTTAACACCATCGGTTCTCCACGGAGGCGTTCACGTCGGCGGCAGCGGCGGCGGTGGCGACCATAAAGTTGGTTAGCCTTTCGCCTTTCGACGTTGAAATGGAGATGGTGAGCAGGCAAAGTCAACAAAACAATTTTCTGCTTAACTGAGGGTCGCTTAGCTTGAGCTCTCCTGCGAGGCTGTAGACGAATCCGCATTTTCAAGATAACGAGTAAATGCTCGGTCCACCCATCCGCACCCGCGATCGCCCTTGTCAACAGCACGTCCTGCTAGTCCGGCCTCCGGACGAGGACACGGTTCAGCAGGTGCCAGAGTCGCGACCGAGGTTGCATCCAGGTATCCTTCTCCCGCGTCGGAAGGCGGAAGAAGGTGTTGGTCAGGATGAGGCGGTGGTTAGCGCAGGTTCGTAGCAGGAGTAGGTCATTGTCATTTGAGACGTAGAGATCATTACGACCCAGCACTCTTTTTCAGGCAGCATGGTCTATGCCGACGCAGGCGCTGAAGTCACCAAAGGCGATCAAATTACCCGCCTTCGGCAGACGCCATAGGGTGTGCAGGTCCTCGTATAATTTGTTCCTTGCAACGTCAGGGCTGGTCATCAACGGAGCGTAGACGCTGCCTTCCCAGAGAGGCAGGCGGAGGCTCATAAAGCGATCACTGATGTCCTGCGGCAGACAAGACAGTTGTCCCACAATGTCGTTCCGAAGGACAAAGTCGACACCCGCGTCCCGTCGCTCTGCCTTGGGTAGGCCGTTCCCCAAGAAGATGTAGCCGACACCCACTTCCTCATGTTGGCCTTGTTCGGAGAACCGAGTCTCGTTGAATGCGGCTTGTTGGTTTATTCATTGATTGGATGACCCACTTCCTCCAGCAGACGCGAACTCCGGTCGTCTGACAGACCAATGAATCGCATACAATCGAAAGAGGTCATACCGTGGAGACTACGACAGGGCGGCCACGAGGAAGAAGGTGTAGCCAGCACCAACCTCCTCTCTTGGTCTTGTTCGGGTAAGCGGGTCTCGCCGAGTGCGACGATGTCCTCCTTGTAGCGCGCCAGTTCCCGAGTTACAAGCGCCGTCCTCCGTTCCGGTCGGTTGGTTCTCGGATTGTCTAAGAGGAGACGAACATCCCAGGCTGTCAGAGTAAGCAGACTGTGGAGTAGGGCCGAGGGTAGGAGGAGGAGGGGGAAGAGAGGGTGTGTTGTCTCTTGTGTGATTGTTTCGACCGCGTGTTTTGCGTCTGTGAGCCACGGCCAGAGCGCAGATGTCGTGAACCCAGCACTTGTTTAGAGTACTTTTTCTAACTCCTTCCCTCCTCGCGGTGGTGAGCAGTGCTTTCCCTGAATAGAACCTCTCAGACTTCCCAGACAACTGCCGGACTCCACTACGGGCCACGACTTTGTTTAGTGGGACAACGAATAGAGTTATACTAGGCTGCCTACGTGACCGCTGTCGCTCTGGCCGCAGGACATTTTGAAGGGGGAAGGAGGGGATAAGGGAAGGGTAGAGGAACGGGAAGCGGAGTTTTCCGTCCCTTTCTAAGCTACCTGGTTGTTGAGATGCAAGTGGTGAGCAGAAAAATTCCTCAGGACGGTATTCAACAGAACTGTATGTGGCTTGCAAGAAGGACCAGCACAGACAAGCAGACAAAGGCAAGCAAGCAAAAAACAAAGACATTAGAGAAATATTCGACTCACCTGCGAGGCCACTTACCTTGTGGCCGTCAGTAACGTTGCTGACGAAGCTTTGTTTTGGAGGTGGTGATGCGGTGATCCAGGGGATATTCGACCGTGGGGTAAGAGGGTAGGGTGGAGTGGAGGGCAGAGAGAAAGTGAGGAGCAGAGGGGAGGGGCGGAGAATAGGTACGAAAGAGAAGTGAGGGGGCGGTCTCCCAACCATTGGGTCAGTAGCTTGCTGAGTGCTTGTGGTCTCCTGCGAGGTTACACACGGAGCCTCATCCCAGAGAAGCCGAAGCGGTGTTCGATCCGGCCGTCGATGGTAGGAGCGGAGCCGAGTTACCGTGTGCGGAGGTGCACACACGGATACCCTTACCTGGTTTTTGCCCGTCGGTCGAGGCGGTTGTGGCCGCAGCCACATGTGGGATTTGGGTGCCAGCTAATGGACGCTAGGCGTAGTCAACACCTGCAAACAAGTGATCAACCTACTACGATCATCGCATGGACTCACAACTGGACACTCCCTACACACACCACCACGACCATCCGGTGGCTCAAAGTTACCGTGACCTTTAAAACAACTGCACACAGTGCTAGGTCCGAGACCCTGGTTGGAGTAGGTCTCTCGTGCGTTGTATGATAGACATGGGTTCGTTCCTCTCAGTCACCGCTTCACACCCAACTACAGTTGTTATCACATTTGTTTTGTCACTGCTATCTGATAATTATGGGATACGTGGGTGAGGTCATTGCTGCGCAATTTATCCTCATTATTAGCTAAAGTAGGCACATGTCATCCTAGCATACCGAGTCACTTGTGTTCCTCATCGCACACGTGAATAAAGTGCTATCGGCGAACCTAACGTAAGAATAAGCGACTGTATTTGTGAAGTTTATTATTCAGGCAAGCACTAACAGGGGACGCCAGGTGGCGTGGCCCGAGTTATCTTCGATGCCTATGGCCCATCTGATAGGCCCCGTTTGTGAAACATCTTCTCTATGCGTGCGAATGTTTCTGTTACTGTTCCTAAATGGTATTCAAGAGAAATATCAGGTAAAAAAGGCACCGAATAAGCTCAGAAATGTTCTGCATCAATTCATTTGAGGTACTGTCGCCATCGCCACTCGCTTACTTTATATGTATCTGGGGATCGAGTGTTCTGAAATTTTTTCTGATGTCCACGACATGTTTACATGGGAGATACGGATGCGCCCGTCTCGTTTGTGGATTTAATCTGTTAAATCATTTTCACGAAACTCCGTCAAACTCATCGTCACCTGAACACATTAAATGCTTTATTGAAAAGTCGTTCCACCTGCAAGCCAGGCCTGGTAAGTTCGACATTTAAGGGGATCAGTGTGCACTTTGCATTAAGAATTTTGTCAAAATTCAGGGGGTTACTGACGCCTTGAAATTTCACGAAGACTTCCCAACTACATTCTATTGTTGTAGGAAGACGGAATACAATGCCGACAATAACCAATCTCATGCTATGTTGACTGAAATTCTAAAATGCGTTTTCGATTAGGAAGGATCGCTTAAGTGGGATTACGATATTAATTATCTGGCGGCGTCGTCCCGTGATATTTCCAAAACGACAGGGTATTAGTTTTCGCATGTACTTATTCTTGTTTGCCTAAAAACCGCGCTCAGCAAAAAACACCTCTTGCGTGGTATGCTTTTTTCTACTGATTTAGATACAATTTATTTTGTAGAAGAAATGCACGAAAATGCCATTTTTTTGGATCCATTTGAAGCGAATCAAGTATTTTTAAAATCTACACAATAAAAAGGGAAACTTTTGGTTGTAAAAAAGTTCCCGATCATAAGATTTCTAAGACCGTGAAATATCCATCCAAATGCCATCGTACCTGTCTGTTGAACAATGCTCCTCCTTAAGTACGCAACATTGTAACATTTTACGAGTCTCATGTAGTGTCTTCTTAACGGCTTGAAGGAGTTCATGTTTTTCTTTGAATAAAAAATATACAACTTGGAGACTGAAAACCCACAACGCAAATTAAACGATAGATCGGTCTCAAAATTATTCGGGAATCGAAAAAACTTTTAAAAATGAAAATATATGTTCCTTAGCTTACGCGTTGAAGAAGACTTGACTTTCTACCAAATAAATACGGGAAAGGATGCTATTGTGTACTTTTCATGCAAAATATATTAATGTTTATATGAGCAGCGAAAGCGAATAGAAAAATGTATACCACATTAGTCGTTTTTTGCTTAGTACGGTTTTGCAGGCAGCAGGAAAGCAGTGAATTCAAAAACTTGAAGTGTCAGTAATATCACAGTATCATGTCGCAAGATAGTAAGTATTGCAATTCCACTTAAACGATTCTTCCTAATTGAAAACGCATTTACGAATTTAGGTTTACATTTACGGGATCGGTCACTGACTGTATATGTGGAAAGTTGATTTGGCTAAGAAAATCCATGTAGATTAACAGCAAAGATGTCCGCCGAAACGCGGGATAATCAGCGATACCACGCGGAAGGTAAGAATTTGAACGACACCACTTAGGATTTGACTCGTCTGTGGAAAACAGGCTGGACAGTGAACCAACTAAGTTCCCTGGAGAACAGTCTAGTTCCTCTGTTTTTCATGCCATAATTACCAGAGCGCACTCTAAAATATACTTCGCCCTGTTATTTTGCTTCTATTTTCTGAAGTAAGTCAAATTTCCATATGCATTTCCTTCACTCCTTCTTCTTACGCAAGAACGACTTCCAACTAACCTGCCGACGGGAAAAATGCCGACGCATTTAACTCGTGCGTTTTGCGCAACATACGCTCTCTTTAAATTTCTATCAGAATTAGAGCGTTTTATGGTTAATATTCATGCGTAAAACTTCGTATATATCAAACCCTGTCCTTTTCTCTTGATTCTATCACCTCTGTCTGCGCGCAGAGCGCATAGCCGGAAATGGGGATGTTGGAAACTGAAGACAGTTAGGAAAAATGGGTTCGAAAAAGTTTTGCGTTCAGTCACAAAAAAGGAACTGACTTGTTGTCACGTGCTTGTGCAAGCGAGGTATCCAGAAACGACCAGAAGAAATTGCAGCCAGTAATAAATGAATGTACGTTGAAAGTGAGATTCTGAGGCCGTTGTAAAGTTTAAACGCAGATGTTGGTAAATACTGCCACATGGATACTTTTCGAGGCAAGAGAAAGAAACATTCGGGGAGAGTAGAGTCCAGGCTTACAGTAAAAAAGAGTACGGAATGAAATTACTGCCT